GCTGGCGCAGCGTTGAGCTCCACGGGAATTGCCCCAATCCCTTCTTTCCCGGCGCACGAGGTGTCGCCGGGTGAATTTGTTGGCTGGCTTTGTTTACTTGTGAAATAATCAGCTTTGTGCCTCTCTACCTTGGGCTTTATCGCACCCAAGGCTCCCTTGAGTTGCGACTCCAGCCCCATTTGCAAAATCAAAACAGATGGGTGCTTTGTTTTTCCCTTCATTGAGGGGAAGGCTGCTTATTGAAAGGCCCTATTACAATGCAAATACCGGGGTGACGTGAATATTCAAAACGCTGCACTGCTTTTGAAGCTCTTTACATAAATCTATGGTGTTTTATATGCCGGTGCTGCTTTGCTGAATCCAGAGTGGCGCCTGGTTAACAGAATTTCTTTTCGCGGCTGACTTTGGAGGGTTTGGCCGTGTTTTGGGGAGCATGGGGAGAGGTGGCATTGAGGTGCAAAGTAGCCAGGACCGGGCTACAAAAATTATGACTGTGCTCAATGCGGAGGAGGAGCCGCCAGCTGTAAAGCTGACTTTGGTGGTGACCCTTGCAGAGCCTGGCGTGCTGTCAAGTGATTTACTGGTATTTGGGTGCCTCATTGTCCTTTGGGTCTTTCCCCCCCCTTCTTTGGTTTCTCAGAGTGATACTTTGAGGGAATGAGGTGTTGTGGGGTGGGCTGAGCTCCGAAATCAGCCGGACACAGGGTTTTGGGGGTGTATGTGGTGACTAGCGGCAGCTTAGCCAGAGCTGTGATGGATGAGATGGTTCATTAGGGGGAGAAGATAAGGAGTTAGATGAGACAACCCCAGCTCTGGCTTTCCGGCAACAGCTCAAGGGTCTGGTTTTGGTGGCTACTGGGCATCTTGTCTTAACCCCCACCATTAAAAAGTGGGGTCCTGGTGGGTTTTGCCAGCCTTGGGTGCTCCCGGACGGTTACGTTGTGGGGAGTGGGTGCTTGTGTTTTGGAGGTGTCCATGTGATGCTGCTCACACGCTGCTAATTGCCAGGCCTGCGTTTGTATGGAGGCAATCGGGAGCAGTGGCGAAAGCAGCGTTTTCCTTGCTGTCCCTTGAGGGAGGTGACTTGCTCGAGGCCGCTACTTGTTGTGGAGGGCTGGTTGGGCTGGAGACAGCCATAACCCTGGGGAGGGCTGGTTGGTGATGGAGCCACAGGGGCATCCGGGCAGAGCGTCCATGAAATCTTCGTGTTGTGCCACTGCACAGCAATGAAAGTGCTTGTTTGCTTTTAATACTGTGTCACACACACACACACACACACATACACAAAAAAAGGCGTTGTGCTAACTGTAGAGGTTTTACTTGATGGTGCTGTTGATTGACCAGGTAATCTGTCTTCGGTAGGTCGAGGCTAAACCTTGGAGGTTGATATTGATTCCAGACACTTAATATGCGAAGCGGTGATTGCTGGTTAAGCCTATATTGTTTGAGTTAAATTTAGCTGAGAGTTCGGTCATATCGGGCCTCTACATTGTGCGCCGTGAAGGTTATCTGGCTCTCAGGAGGGGGTGGATTTAAAGGCAGGAAAGAAATGCTGGGGAAAACTTCCTCTTCTCATCATCCTTGAGTGCTTTGCTTCCCAGGAGAAGTGAACTAAAGAATAACATGGTTATGACTCCAAGTAGCTCTCCCAGACCGGCACCTTTCTGCGCCGTCTGCTCAAGCCCCGTCGTTCTGAGGGGTCTTAAC